AAGTGAAGTTACGTTACCAGGACATGATCAATGTGAGCCTATCACGTTCTGGTGTTGATTACAGGTGTTGGGAATCGAAGGCCAATGATCGGCGTACATGGCGCGACCTGGTCACGAAGGCAGTTACCGAGGTGCGAGAGAAAACCCTCTTGGATGCAGAGAAGAAGTGGCAAGCGTGGAAGTGACAGGCGCCGTTGGGTTGTAGTCCATCTGTGTGGAGCGCATGGTGCTGCAGCAAATGCGGCCGCAGTTGCCAGTCAGGTAGGCCTAGGGAGCAGTGAACGGGGCTACTCGGTCCAACACCGAAACGGTCATGATTCATGCATAGAGCCTAATCAGAACCGGCGCAATGTTGGTGTCTACACTGCATTCGATTTACTAACTGCGTGCTTGCATGCTAAATCTCTATTTCAGGTGGTGGATTTGCTACATTGTCCTAATGATTTTTAAAATCTTTTTATTTATATCTGAGCTATCTTCTATAAACTTGCACACGTATCTTAAAGCATTTTGGTTAAGTTTGGTAACAATTTCGCGTTTGTGGCATTTTCTTAAGATATATTTTCTAACGTCTTGAACTTTTCATTCATGAACTTGTTCGTAACCAAATTATTTCATACACTCATTTAGTACAGTTATGCCACCGTATTTGTATTCATTATTCGATTTATTTTATTTTATCTTTCCATCTCAAGTGGCTGGCTGTTGGAAATATTTAGGTGTTGCTCTTCCCAACACTGGCATATCAGGACCGTGACTTCGTCCTGGTTTGTACTCGTCAGGTGGAGATGGCCTGAGCTGAGTTGGAACTCAGTGCCTAGGAGTTCATGGCTGACGTCCTGAACACTATGTCACTGAGATTCGCGAGCAACGCTTGGCACAGCGGAAAGCAATTCAAAGCTGAATTTAGGGAACATGCTGTGTGGTTGGTTTACGACTCGCAACCTTTATAGAGACCTCGGTACACTTTGAGGTACACCTCGGTCATTCCGATCTCGAGGACCGTAGCTGGAGTGGAAATATTTGCGTTACTCTTCCCAACCCTGGCACACCACAACCGCGGTTTCCTCCTTGTTTGAACTCGTGAAGTGAAGATGGCCCGAGCTGGGTTGGAATTCAGAGCCTAGTGGTTCACGGCTGACGCCCTGAACAACATGATACTGAGATCCGCAAGCAACACTTGGTACAGAGAAAATCTATTACTTGCTATCTCCGGGTTGGCTGTGCTAGATGTGAATCCGGACAAGTTGCCTACCTGTCTATTTCTCACCACCTCGTCTTTACTGGTTTTAGGAGCCCGTTGGGCGTGGCTGGAGCTGATGGTGCAATGCAGTAGCTTTATTACTTCTGTCTAAGAGGCACCTACTAGAAGTTGAACTAGACAAGGCTCAGCTTCTGGGTAGACTAAGAGGCAGGTTATGCCAGCGGTAATTGTACGTCAGTCTTAGTATGTTAAATCGGAAAGGAATCGGTGCATAGCGACAACTGTTTATTTTAGAAGCACTGATTGGCTGCACCCGGGATGTACGATGCAGATTGTTACCAAATAGCTTATGACCACAGCAGGATACACAGCAGTATATACGAAGAGATGAGTACTTAGCTGCCAGCCATGCTACGTCTTGGACATTTGCAAAACTGTGCGAATACTGTTTTGAAACCTGCATGTTTGTCAGTGGGCAGCGGAACTTAGTTGATGTAGTACTGCGGTTGTTGTGTAAACGAGGCCGTAAGGGGCAAAAATGTGATATTGCCACATGTTAAAGCTTAGGATTACACAACAGAAACCTTTTTTGGAGAATCCGCACGTACCTCGGGCAGCAGCTAATCGAACAGGTCAGGCGACACGGAGAGCCTGAAGTGAACACATTTCATTCGCAAGTTGTGGGATCTCCCTCATCGGCTATGCAAACCAGACTGTACATATAGGAAGATAAGTCTAAGTACGTACTGTTTTACTGTACCAAATGTTTATTACCCATCGGACCTGGTAACCGCACTGATGGCAGTTGCTTCATTATTCCTATATCGGTTTCGTTCAACTATGGAAGCCCAAGATTTTCCGACTGTCATTTAAGTTACCGTCTAAATGTTAACCAGAGCATCAACAGTTGCTATTGAATACTTATGCGTGCAAAAATGTCCTTGAGCCTTACCTACAAGCCAAACCTGTGCACTTTTGTAGTACTATTTTGTACATGAAGTTTACTGCGTATCTGTACAGTTTGTGATATTTCATACTTCATTTTGAACCAACGCATGTGCATATGTTGATTTCAAACTGCCATTGGCCACGAATGATGCCAATGCATGTCTACATATATACCGAATGAATTAGACAACGATACTGATCCAGCTTTTGTACGGCCAACTTAGTGCAGGGAAACGGTACAGAGGCAAACAAGTATTACATTACCAGCACAAGAAAAAGGTGAGTTTATCACGAACTGATGTTAATTTCAGGTGTTACGAATCAAAGACAAAGTTGATCGGTGCGAATTCTATGGGCTGGTCCAGAAAACAGGTGCACAGGTACACGAGAAGATAATATTGCATGCGGAGCAGAAGCAATATGCGTCCATTCCCATCTGATTAACTAATCCAGGCCAATAAGGCGTCGGCTGACGTACGTTTTTTTGCGATATGAGTACACCCGCTTTTCAAGTTATGTATTGCTTGAGCTCCCCGGGGTGGCGGCGCCTAATGTGAATGTTGACAAATTGCCTAACCGTCTATATCCCACCACGCCGTTTATACTGGCTCCAGGAGACAGTTTAGCGTTTCTGGAGGGGACTGGGTGCAAGATCGTTGTGACCACCCTAGACTCAATGAGTGGTTCCGTGCACACAGCTTTTTGTGAATCGGACTACCGCCCAGCCACCACCATATATAGGTCTGGCGTGCACGATTTACCAAGTAGACCGCAATGCTTCTGTTCTGCTTGTGGGCCGGCTCCGCTGATAAAACGAGCCCTCCATTCACAGGCCTCTGGGTCTTATTCCTTCGGGTCTACACTGGATAAAGGGTGTGTGGTTGGAGCTGTGGTTGGTACAACGCAAGCCACCTCTGCTCCCTTTATAGGGGTGTGTCACCTGTAGCCCATATATATATATATATATATATATATATATAAATAACCTGTGACAGCACCATGCGCTCGACGCAGATGGACTACAACCCAACGGCGCCTGTCACTTCCACGCTTGCCACTTCTTTTCTGCATCCACGAGGGCTTTCTCTCGCACCTTGGTAACTGCCTTCGTGACCAGGTCGCGCCATGTACGCCGATCATTGGCCTTCGATTCCCAACACCTGTAATCAACATCAGAACGTGATAGGCTCACATTGATCATGTCCTGGTAACGTAACTTCACTTTCTCCACGTGCCGTTTCCCTCCACTCAGTTGGCCATACAGCAGCTGTTTCGGTATCCGCGTCGAATCCATTCGCCACACATGACCGAGCTACCTTAAGTGTTTTAGCAATAGTATTCACTCCACTGCATACATCCCATTTCGACGCAACACAGTGGCTGTAACTCTGTTGCACCAACCGATTCGCGGAATCCGTCGCAGACACTATTGATTAAACCGCGCGAGACATCGCACATCTCGCCGGTACATCGTCCACGTTTCGCTGCCGTATTGGAGAACGGACAACACCATGGATTTGTACACCATCAACTTCGTGCCGATGGCAAACTGATGATTGTTCCACACCCGGTAATCAAGCCTCTCGAATGCCGTCGCTGCCTACGATACTCGGATGCGCAGCTCACTGTTTATCTGCTGTTCTTTGTGTGGACCTGACTACGGTCCAGCTACCGCCATTTATGTGATTGATTCCCAGATACAGCGTGCTTGTGATTGCCTGCGATGTAGTGTGGGCCGGCTCCGTTGATGAAACATTGCTTCCAACTACATGCTTCTTATTGCTTTCGGTTTACTCTGGATATGATGTTTTTGTATGTAGCTGCGGTTGATGGGGAGCAGGCCACCCACCTTCTCTTTGTATTCGCATGCGTCCTGTGGCTGTCCTTTTATAGGCCGCGGTGACGGTCAAATGCAGAGCCGGATCTTGTCAGCCCGATATATATATATATATATATATACCACTTTTCGCTTTAATTTGGACATCTTGCCACCTTCATTAAGCGTTTTACAAACCACTTTTATCATTGTGCAAACCACTGGACCTTTTGCGTGCCACTTTCAGTAGCTAGCTTTTTAAACGGGAATTCGGCAGCTCACTCGCAAGAAATGAGTAGTATGGCGACTTGACTATGTTCAGACTACATTTTGTTATGCTAATGCAACTGTATTGTGTAAACAGCGGGTGCATATACAAACCATTCTTTTGATCCTTCTCGCTATCTGGCTTCGCGTTGTTTTATGTGCTTTGCTTTACACAAAATTCTGGGTAGCTATGTGATTATTGGAAGGTCAGGCTCCCGAATACTGGAGCGTTTTAGTAATTAAATAAATGTTTTTTAGCTTTAGTGGGTCGTTGTGTTTGGTGAATCTAGGATAGCCTGCACTGATCCAGTAATCCGGCAGTTGGATGGATTGGCCCTTTCACCCTGGATAAATACGCGAAGGCCCATGGAGTGAAACAGAAATACTGGGTCACCGCCTAATTGCTTCATCCGTTAAGGTCTGAATGATCGAATTGACTAAGATTTACTTCAGTGGGAATCGTGATCCACGGTGTGATTGAGCATAGCAATCCATCCAGTACAAAACGCATGTTCCATTTTGACCCACTAAATTCAAGTAATATTGGGTTAGACTATAATAGGCTATATGAGTCTGACTATCAATAGTCACATAAGTACACAAGTCCAGAGGCATATTTCTTGTTAGTGAATTGCCGATTTTCTACTTAGAATGCAATGTGCCTAAGTGGTTTGCAAAATGTTCAGTAATATTTTTAAAACCTCCGAAGTGTTTTGTATAACGTCCAACGTGGTTGGCAACACGTCCAATTTAAAGTGAAATGTTTTATAAATATATCGTGACCAATTGATAACATAGATTCTTGGAAAACCGTTGGGAAAATTTTCCTTTCGGTACCTGCCAACCTGCGGAAGGAATATCGAGGTTAGTAAGTTACATCATTTGTCTGTAAATAGGGTTGACTATAGCACACAGTCGTCCACAGTTGGCAAATGAGCTGCGTTATGCTTAGCTAAACTGTGAATCCTAGGCACATGCATAACATCTTTCTTGCAAACAGCCATAAGAGAACCGGTACTCTTCACAAAATAAGTCGGAACATGCAGTACTCAACGACTATAGTTCACTTTCGATTCACTGTACGCTCAATAATTTGCTCACAGTATAATATTCGCAGAGTTGTGCTGTTTTTCACATTATTACATCAAATAAGAGACACGCCATATCACTTTCTGCAATACAGACAAAGAGATTCGATACATGTTTTCTGTTCACAGCGCTTCATTTCTAGGCTTTCTGCTTACATTCGAAATCAGCAGTTGTTATTGAAAACAGAGCTGGGATTCAAACAGGATTACATAGATGGACTAGTATTAACCAGTGCATCCAGTGTTGCTCACCATCGTTTTCAGTGAAGTGCTGCGTAGGAGCGTAATTTAGGCTGGACCGCATGTTCTGTAATAACTCTACCCAGTAGATAACAGATGAATTGATCGTGGCAAGCACCAAACATTTTGTCTAGTGTAATTTACCTGATTTTCAGCACAGTAGGATCTCAATTATAACCTACCGATTCGCAAGCTGGAGTCCGTGTGTTTCGTTGCAGTTCACAAGGATTGCCATTTTCTGAAGGAAGGGCGTCTTCATCCAACAAGCTGCCTTTTAGGCGCCCAAGACAGGTAGATGGACATAAGAATTGAAGATGGTTGTGATAATGTTGACATAGTCCCAAGTTAAAGAGTATCAATAACATTTCCTCCTTCAAAGGCAGGAGTGGGATATCTCTTTCAGGATCCCAGTCCAAAGTGGAGATGAATTTGTTGTCTCTGTAATGGGGATTGGATGCAAAACAATATAATGCTGCCCTCTTAAAACTTACTTCTGTTAAGATTCAATAAAAACATGCTCCATCTAAATGCGTAGTTCATATCGATCGCGCACGATCCGAATTTGCAGCATTAGTTGTAAGGTTTATCAGCTTCCATCTGAACGGACAAATGCAGACCCTTCGTTAAGCAGTCTCAGAGTATTCTTAGAGGTGATTTAGAGGATTACTAGCAGGAAAACAAGGAAGTGAATACTTATTGTTAAACGGGTTTTAGGTAGGTCAATATGAAAACTTGGGCTCTTGTTAAGTGTCTCTATTAGTAGTCACTGTCGTAATGTTTAATATATTGCTAATAGTTGTCGGAAGCGACAGCTTTTTTGATTCAAAAATGAGTTAAAGTGACCTCCCGTAAGAGCCAATGTCAATATACCACAGGTCTCCGCTGATAGCGCCTGTAATAATTCTTCTCAATCCGCTGCTCGGTTTTGCGGTATCCGTTGTGTAAGAGGATTGAAGTAAACCATTACAACCGTTTCTGCAAATCAACCCGGCAGCAGTGTTGCATTTATTTGCGATTTTCAGACAGAGATAATCTAACTGGTCTTCTAACCTGGAATGTTTATGTCGCCGATCCATACATGAACCTCCAAGCCGCCGACATCTCTAGCTGATGCTTATGACCAAGAGTTCTAACCAAGTAACACCCGCCTGATGAGCTTAAATGTGGACGGAACCGGTGCAGCAGTGTAGTACTGAGAGTGTCGGGACTGTGTGTTTCAATCGCTTTACACGGAGACTGCTGAAAATATGAAAGTTAATAATCCATTTTATTAGCTTACAGGTGCTGCTGAAGATCACTTTCTAAAACAGACATGGATAGCTCAACTGCTCCTTGCCAACTGAGAAATACAACTACGAATTTTTCACTATACGAATTACATTCTTTCGGCATCAAATTATCTAGGTTTTATTGAATTTAGGTGTCACTAGTTAATTACCTTTTAGGTATGGAAGGCATTCTCATTCCTTCTGGTTCACACTGGATATGGGTGTGTGGATGGAGCTGTGAGTGGTGCAGCGCAAGCCACACATGGTCCCTCGGTAGGCTCAGGCGTCCTGTGTCTGTCTCCATGGAAACCACAGTGACAGGCAACTTGGATGCCGCCAAACAGTATGACAGCATTCTAGCTTTGACAGTGAAGGAGTGATTTTTGGGATCTTAGGCGGTTAGCTTAATATCCGTATTTTGCTTTAGTTGGCACAAATTAGCTAACGTGTGCCGAGTAGAAAGGCTGACGCGCAGTTTGGAGTTATCCTACGAAGTGACCATGCAAACCAAATGGCTATATTAAATTCAGTTAACATATATAAGATCATGGCAACAGTCGGAAGTCATTCCCCCCCCTTAGGGATGCGGAACAAACCACCGGAAGGCCGTTCTACCTTGCTTGGTCCCGTTAGCATTGTGCATCGCATGGTTACACAAGAAACTGTGACGCTTAAGACCAACTCTGGCCTCCGCAAACTTTATAGCTTGTATTAATGTGAAAGACAATCTACGATATAAGGCATTTAGCCTATAAGTCATGACGGTCTGTCGCTTTTACTTATGGTCTGATGGAAGAAGCCGCTACCTAATCGTGTGAGCCACTAGGGTCGAGAGGTTAGGTTTTCGGTTCCTGATGCAGTCTGCGGATGAGTCTCAGCAGGATGAAACAGACATCGACTGTTTTCTCAAATCTGCTGGGGCCGTCTGACTTAAACTTACTACAAAGAGTCCCTAGCAAATTACGACCAACCCTCTACCCACAAGTGACATATGATTGTCTAGCCATTTAATGAGTTTACCAAATCCGTGCAAGGTCAGAATCTGGTGACCTGAAGTAAGAATGTGTTAGTTAGCTAGGATCAATTTGGCGTGCGCGTATCCCATAATAAATGCATGTTCGCAAGTTTTATGCCACCAACCATACACCTGTGGTCGGTTCACTTTAGTCGCATTCTGTTCGAGACCCTACTCAAGCCAGGTTGATAGAACTGAAAATCGACATGATAAAACTGCAGGGTTAGAATTTGTAGCAAGGATAATATGCCTGGTGGAAAACATACCCTAAATGTCACCACATTAAACCAAACGACATGCAGTAACAGTCGGTTTTTCCGATCCGTATGCCTCCGGAGTTTGTTTGCTCTCCTCTTGAGTTAGACTGCTCAGTTTTACCTGATGCTCTTCAGGGAATGCGTCTTTTCAGATCACTAGTTTATTAAATCTAGTATGCATTACATGTGGATCAACAAGCGGTTTTGCGCATCTATCGTTACGGGAACACTGGTCAAACCTCAAGATCGGGAAATGGAAAGTTTGTAGCCCTTTGTTTCAAAAACCAGCACGCCGGTGAGTGTTCATCGGTTTTGAAGTGTACGGATCAAAACTATCCATCGACCGACTGTTATTTTCACGCATCATCAGAGTACTTATGCTGCCCAACCTTCCTTCCGGCTTGTAGCAGAACGAAACAAAGTCCGGCGTCTAAGAATTCTATTAAGTACATTTACTGTATAGGCGTTGGGTGAATTGGAAATGATTTATGTCTGACAGCGTGGCTACGACGAGAGGGAAAGCTTTTTGTAGGTGCCATTTCCACTACAACAATCGACCATGATTCAAGCACCATAATTGATGATTTCTTCCGCATGACAGCACCGGAGAAAATCGGCTAACATCTAGCAGTGGTAACGGAGGATTTCACAGAATGGATCCCGTTTAAGATCAAAACACTATGAGCACATACGATCTTATCGCAAGCAGGACACATGTATTATTGTAGTATCAGCAGTATAATAAATAGGCATAAAGACAATAACATTATGGAGATTAGCGAATAAGAGGTTGAGTCACCGTGTCATAATCATTGTGGCACAGTAGTTGAAGGTGAGCAACACACTTCAGCTACCGTGCTGCAGGAAGAAAGGAATATATTTTATTTTCTCACGCGCCACATTTTTAATGTATTTAACTATTTGGCATTAACCTTCCGAAGCTAAGCAAGTATACATATGTTTACATATGAGTATATAAATATATATCATGTGTAGTCCATGAAATGGACATGGGGCCATCTAGTAAACCATGATAATCAAAGGAATGCAGAATTTCACAACCAGTAGAACGAAATATGCCTGGTTTGCTTTCACGCGCCGTCTTTTCTCCTTTTTGTCATTTTCAAGGTTTGATGTAATAAACATGTAAATCGGTACAACGCTGTGCACACTTCTTCCACTGATTCCGTTTGCGGGCCATGTTTCCAAGTGTTTTAAGCCATTGGAACTCCTCCATCCTGGAAGACGTACGGATCCAATGGCGGATAGACTCGACATCAGCGAGTATATGTGCTGTCATCAAGTGGAAGACTGACCACAACACGGTTGGCTCTAATCAGATCCTTGACGAGCGAATGCAGCGGGCTGTGGTAAACGCCCAAGCACCCTGCCTAGGACATGACCAAGCCATCTCAATTAGCACAGCAAAACCGATTTGTTTAAGGAAAGACTCGCATTTCCTATTTTCATTTCTTGGACTACGTTATATATATATATATATATATATATATATATATATATATATATATATAATTGCTTCGATTCGGAGGCTTAATGCCAAATAGTTAAATGCATTAAAAATGTGGCGCTTGAAAAAAAAGCACATCTTTATTTCTTCCTGCAGCACGGTATCTAAAGTTTGTTGCTCACTTTCAAATACTGTGTCACGATGCTAATGACTCGAAGACTCTACCATTTATCCGCTAATCTCAATGGGTTTGTTTGCCTTGTCTAGTTATCAGACAGCTGATGCTACTACCACAACAACAGCAACTACTACAACAAGAACAACAACTACTGCTACTACTACTACTACTACTACTACTACTACTACTACTATTACTGCTAATCGATCGCTTCTTTACTTTGCTAATGATGTTGCCTGTTATGTAATAGTGCAATCCACGTGGAACATGGTACGTTTCCCAGGAGAAAGAAGCATACTATTCATTAATCTTATTCGATCGTTGTTTAAGAACTACGTGGAGTGAAGCGCGGATTTCCTGCTCTGCACACAGCACGCGGGCTTTTGCAAACAGCACAGCAGACAGAAAATGATCTTGGACAACAATTGTATCATACCTTTCAAAGTGTAAAATCATCTTACATCTCGTCTACGCAGATTATATCACCAGTAGTGCTTAGCCATATCTTCATCACCATTGTGGATGTATTGAGGCGGCTGATTTCATTGCGCAAGCACAGCTCTTCTAGTGCAGACGACATTCGCCCAAAGGCGTTAAAAGTTGCATCCATAAGTTTAGCATTATTCTTTCAACCATCTCTTAACGGGGTGTAGGTGCCCACAAGGTCGAAGCATGGAATCATCACTCCAGTCTACAGGACTGGCAACTGTACAGAACCAGTTAATTATCACTCGATAGCGCTACTTCCGGTGATCTCCATGAACATGGAGTCCATTGTCACTGAGCTTGTCATGGGGTGGCTGGAGAGAAATAAAATTCTTGCTCTTGAATTGCAAGGATTTCGCCAAAATCGGTCATACACTATTAACCTACTGATAGCTCGTGCATGCTAGACGGAATTTGAGGATGCTGGCAAAAGAGAAGATGCCGCCTATCTGGACTTATGGAAACGCCAGTTGAAGCGAAATTTGAATACTCACCCACGGCGTACTATGGAGTGGATTGGGCGGTAGATATTCCCTATAAACATGGAACTTCGGATGCCATCCGCAGGGCCCTATTTAAAGAAAACATAAGGGCAATTTTCCAGAAAGGCCGAAAGCCCCACTCTACATTAGTGCACTTGGAAGACCCACTTCCCGCAGATAGGACAATCAAACGCGTCTACAAAATTAGTTGCAAAGACTGCGTACACGTGTACATCGGTCAAACCGCGAGATAGCCGCGCACAAGGATAACAGAACACAAGAGA